ATGGCCAGGATACATTTTAAGGAGCAAAGAATGAAAATTGTGTCAGAAAGAAAGCTGGGACTAAGGGAGAAAACAAACTCTGTACTAACCATTTTATAAGCCGTAGCTCATTTAATCTATACAGTAATAGCCATGAACTGGGGTCATAAACTCCTCCTTCTTAAAAATATATAGAAACTATACCTTATTCAAAAGTCTTAGGAGAGGGACTTTGAAGTCATTTAACTTGAAATAAAGTACTAAAAGCAAGTGATAAGGACTGATTTCTAAGAACCCTGTATGACAGACAGGTCAGCATTACCATAGTTAATATTTTCTAACAGCATACCAGAAAAGGCTAATAAAGCATCTTAAGTTCACACTATTTTTAAATGAGCAAATTATAGTACAAATAGCTAGAATACTGCAGCAGTTATTTTTTTAAGTAAAAAAAATCACCATTTTTAAAAACCTTTACTTTTTTTAAGCCCTTTTTGCTATTGTTAGGGACCAGATACCTTACCCTTGTCACAAAATAGAGAATTCTTTAGTTCTATTTAGTTGCTGGTTAATGGAAGAAGTGCCTCGTCTCACATTTTCCATGATGCAGCACTTGTTCTAGTTATACATTTTATGTTATTTCCCTTGCCTGACTTCTCTTCCCTCCCTAAAGGCCTGCTCTTTCAAAGCTCATCTGAAATGTCACTTCCTCTGGGAGGGCTTCCCTGATTCCAACTCAGTGTTTATCAATCCTCCCCTTTTCCGTGTCCCCAAATAACTAAAAATAATTACAAGTCATCTAAATCCAAGAGAGCTTTGGGAAGGCAAACCCTTGTTTGATTTATCTTGTCACCCCAGAACCTGCTATATATAGTAAGTACTCAAAAAATCCTTGAAAAGGCCCTCTGTTCCTGAGCTAACATCTACGCACTCTATATACAGATCTATGCAGGTGTTTGATTAAGGGTCCTATTGCATTGAACTACTGTTCCTCCTACAAATAAGCCTCTCTCACCTCACTGAGCTAGAATACCTTTCTGACACCCAAATCTTCTCTGCTTAAACCTTCAGTAGCTCTCCAGGACCCTCAAGATAAAGTCCAAACTCCTCAATTGTACTGACTTGGCCAGGCTCACTCTTGTTAAACCTAGATGTCCACATATTCTGCTCCCAACACATGGCTGGAAAAGACACAGAAATTAAAAGTGATTTCACTTTAAAGTCAAGACCACAAACCTCAATGTGCCTCAAAGCTTCCCAACAAGGCTTTGCATCTCTGATATATTTATTTTCCCTGTTTCCAAAGTTACTATTGCAATCTTATTCCTCTTTTGTCAAACTTCTAATACACCTACAGCTTACCATGGGCTCATAACTTGCTTTTTCTACTTTAAGAACATTGAATCAACTAGGCAAAACTCCCTCCTACTTCCCTCTCAACCTCCACTTGTGTGTGGATTCTCATCTTTCCTTGTCTTCTCAATCTTCAGTAATTTCACTCATGGTATCATCAATTTCTTGTTCTCTACCTGATCATTCCCATCACCATACAAACACACTGCAGTTTTCACATTAAAAAAAAAAAAAAGCCTTCCATCATCCCATGTGCTCCAGCCCTCATAGTTACCACCCCATTTCTTTGCTCCCCTTCACAGAAAAAAAAAATGAGGGAAAATTCTTATACCCTGAAAAATAAAACAAAATAGGATAAGGGGGTGTAGGAAAGCACGTCTCTTTGGCATGAGTTTATTTTAGGTTGATTATTTTTAAGAAACAAAAGGCTCAGAAAGAGCTTTTAAACTCCCCCTTAACTGCCTAAAAAAATTTAGATCAGTGGTACCTAACATGGGGCACATGCCCCTCAAGGAGGCAATTTGATTTTTAAGGGGGGTGCAACTGGAGAATGAGTTACTAACAGTGAATTTTTTTGCATTTCTTATGGTTCTACGGGACTCATATACAGTATATAAGTATATATTGTGACATTTATGCATTTCAGTTCTCTATTATGTTTTGAAACTGCTATTTTTTCTTATCATTTTATATTATCTTTTTAGCAATTTCTTAGTGATTTCTTCCTCAGTACTTCACCTGTCCTTTTGTACTTTTATTTTTCTCTTTCATGGATGCCATGTTCTTTGGGCGCTTGTTTAGACCAAATTAAATGGCCTTTTAGGCTTCTTCCATGTGAATGGGAGTTCACTTCTTGAATAGTAAGAATTATATGTCACAGGGGGCATTAGGATTTTAGAGATGCTTAGGTGGGGCATGGCCAGAAAAAGGTTGGGAACCACTGATTTAGATAGAGAGCCTGTTCCAGGAAGAGGTTCTATCACCAGGGATAACTGCAAATAATATGAGGTGTAGTGCGCCAGGGACCTTAGCAAAGCCTGTTTATTCAAAGTACTCCCTCTAATAGACTTTGCATGGCATAGCGAACATTTGTTTACCAAACATTTATTTTGCCATCTCCATGTGAAGTCCCAAATGCCTATTCCTTCTCTTTAGCTCTGGATGGCATATAAGCCATTGTCAGTTACCTGACTGTTTTTGGGCCTCAGATGAAATTAAACTTGATTTTCTGCAATTAACTTGTCTCATCTCAATTTAATTCTTAAGCCATCTAGAAGAGTAGAGGAGAAAATTTTCGTCCCTGACAGAAGCCAAGAAAGATCTAAGAATGTGATCAATGTCAGTCTCCAGTTTTAGAATAGCACAGCTCAACAGAAGTTTCTGTGATGATAGAAATGTTCTATATCAATACTATGCAACCCAAAAGCCCTCACCACGTGCGACTGTGGAAGCATTTATAACATGGCTAGTGCAAGTACAGACCTGAAGTTTTTGTTATTTGTTTAATTAATTTAAATGTAAATAGCCACATGTGGGCAGGGACCAGGATTATTTATGCTCATCATGATGTTCCCAGAACTTAATACAGGACCTACACATATAGTAGTTGCTTAATAAATATTTATCAAAAGATTCAATCTGTAAAATGGTATATTATCAGTTAATTTGTGGGTCCCATCTTTTTCCAAAGAGGAAAAGGGGAAAAAGACTTTATGTGGTGCCCAGCTGGTTTGGCTCAGTGGATGGAGCATCAACATGTGGACTGAAGGGTTCCGGGATCGAGTCTAGTCAGAGGCACATGCCCGGGTTGCGGGCTCGATCCCCAGTGGGGGCTTGCAGGAGGCAGCCAATCAATGATTCTCTCTCATCATTGATGTTTCTATCTCTCTCTCCCTCTCTGAAATCAATAAAAATATATCTAATTTAAAAAAAAAAGACTTTATATGGTGTGGGAGCACAGCTGCTCCTCGAACCTGCACACATCCCTGACCTTGCTGTTGCACGAATTGTTGGGGAGTAAGTTTCTCCTTGACCCTGCTCCGCTACACTAACTGTTGCATCCGAGTCCCTCTGCCAGGGACTGGACCTCCTTGGACACTAGGTCTTTAAGAATTTGCTCTATCCCAGAGGGTAGATGGGATAATAAATGAGAAAATACTGTGTGGTCTGAGTAAAATGACAATTGTAATATGCCTATGAGCATGCCTGGAACATAGTAGGTACTCAAATGTGATGGCCCATTAACTTCACAGAGGGAAAGCAAATTATAGTATGGGAGAAGGCCTTAAAAAAGCAAGTGATATCTATAAGGGAACCACATCTTGAGGAATAATGGGAGTAGAAGTAACCCCTAAGGATTTTTCACTGCTTATGTGCCCGGCATAAATCTGGGTCTCTACATGACTCATTTAATCCTCACCACAATCCAGTGAGTGAGATACTATTATTTTTTCCCATTTTACGGCTGAAAAAGACCCCACTTATGGACAGTGAGGATAATTATCTTGCCCATGATCACTGAGCTAATAATTGACAGAGCTGAAACTGCCACTCAGCCCTTGGCTCTCACCACAGTGCTGTTCCAGCTCTTGAACAGATTTTCTTCTAGGGAACAGCAACAGGAAAGATACTGTTTGTTGTTGCATGTTATACAGAAGCTTAA